GCTTTGAAGACAGCACCAGGCGTGAGCAGATGTATGATGCGAGGGGAGGTCGGCATTAGCCCAAGGGCATGAAAGAGGGGATTGGATTGGCTTCAGCTTTCCAAAAGCCCAGAAAATTCGGATGAGGGCCAACTAGAACTCTGTCCAGCACCTGATCCACCACCCGAATGGCACAGCCCAGCGCAGCTGCTATGCTTCAAAAAGCCCCCTACTGCAACTTGGAACGCAGTCTTGAAAGAAACCGTGATACTAATAAGCAGATGAAAACCCAATCTTACATCTGAGCATGTGAAACATGAGTGGGGCAGTAACTCATCGCAGAGCTTCTGACTTGCTGGGAGAAAAGCATTCGTGAACTGGGTCAGATGCGCGTGCCTGTGGTGTTGCCCACAGCAACTCCAAAGGGCAGAAGAACCCAGGAGGGTCCGGATGCTCTGTGACCTTGGTGTCAAAGCCAAGACATGTCCCAGTTTCTCTTCATAGCAACTTCCAGTCTGTCGCTCAGATGTGTCCAGACCCTTACTTCTTAAGCTGAATGAATATATCCTGCCAGCACCACCTCCTGAGATAATTTGTTTTGAAGATTAGTACCTGCTGTGTTAAGCAGCACTTCCTTTCATTGGTTCCAACAAAGAAAAAGAAGAATCAGGGGTGAGACAGTCAGTCGAAGGGCTAATGGTGCTTTCAGCAGAGACAATCTCATGTTGTGAAAAATGGGAACTGTCAACAGCCTGGAACCACAAGATATTTGTTCAGCAAACACAAACTTGAGAAACTTAAGAACCTCAAGTGTTTTTGTTGATGGAAGTTGCTCAACATGTTTATGAACAATAAAATTGGTCAAAGATATAATCTGTGGTAGAGCTGCCTAGTTAGCACTCAAGTAGCATGGAATCCAGCAATGTTTCAATCACAAAAGGTTTGAGTTGATCACAAATTTATACAGAGATGAGATTGGTCAGAGAGAGGAAAATCAGCTATCAACACCATAGCTCCCAGTACTGTCAGATAGGCCAAAAGACTTCCACAAGTGGACACCCTAAATCCTCAGTGGACACAAAGGTCCACCCATTAACCAAGCTTCACTAAGCAGCTAGGTTATGGCTATTCCAATTAGTGTTGCTAGTTGCTGTCAAGTTGATTCTGACTCCCGGCAGGTAGAACAGAAAAAAGACCAAAAGGGTTATCTTCTATGGATCCCTGGGTGGATTTAAATCGCTGCCAACCTTTCAGCTAGTAGTCAAGTGTTCACCCATGACTGCCACCCAGGGACTCCAAACTAAGACCAGTCCCACCAAAAACTAGCACCTAATTGCAATGTATTACCCTGAATTGGTTCCTGGAACCAAGTGATAAAGGCCATAAGCAGAGAAACTGGTAAAATTCAATTAAAGTCTGAAATTTAGTTAATAGTAATACAATAGCAATGTACCACTATTAATCCTAATTTTGACAAACGTGTCGCCATTTTGTGAAATATTAACATAGAGAAAACAAGATACAGAATATGTGGGAAATCACAGTACTTCCATTCATTTATTTCTTTACAGCTAATATTATTCTGAGCGCAATGTTTGTTTTAACATTTGAAAAACTGAAAAGAAATACAGCCAGTTGGGAATTGGATGTCAATAAATGGTCACTTTTTTTTATGATAAGGAAAAATTAAGTGGCTAGGCACCAAAGAGAAGGGGAAACAAGTCTAAAGGGCACACCTGTGAAGAGTAACGAGACTACTATGACCCATCACAGAGTTATCTCATTCTAAAGAGACCACGGCATTTCAAAGACGAGCCTCAGGCAGGACAGCTGGAGTGACACTTCACTGATATGCATCCTCTGTGTGCACTGTATCATTTAGAGAAGAGACTTTACACTCACAATAAGCCTAAAACCGCTAAACAACCTGAGAGAAAAAGACGAGAGCACAATCTTGCAAGCCTAACGTACTATGAAAACATCGGAATTCATGAAAACCCAAAGTAAAGTTACTTAGATAATTAATCACCATTCACTGACTTTCTTAAGTACAGATATGTTGTTATTCATAATCAGCAGGTTCATGCATAAAAAATTAACTGCTTATTCAAGAAGATTACAGGCATAAAAAGGCAAGACAAGAATATATTTAAGTACTTAAATGATATCTAAAAATATATTGTTATTGAAAGCAAAAGAGGAAGACCACATAGAAAATAAATTACTGATTAAAGGTCTGAACCTTGAAAATTTGGGGGTTGATGTCTACAAATTGGGAAAATACAGCAAGGTGGCTACTGGAAGGAAAATTCTACCAAGACAGATTTAGATTTATGGGAAAGCTGCCTCCTGAAACAATTCAGCAGGAGATTGGAGAAACCAACTGGGCGGTAAGCCTGCTGCCATAGGGTGGGTTCCGACTAAGCAGAACAGAGTACAACCTGCCCCGCAGGGTTCCAAAGGCAATCGTATCATCTTTACAGAGGTGTGCCTGACCCAAGCCATGCTATTTCCAGTGGTCTCGTATGCATGGGAAAGCCGGACAATGAATTAGGAAGACCTGAGAAGAATCAATGAATTCGAATTATTATGTTGCTGAAGAATATTGAATATACCATGGAAGAAAAAATAAATTGGCTGTGAAAAAAGTACAGTCAAATTGCTTGTTGGACAAGTTCATACTAAGACCAGTCCTTGGAAAAGGACGTCGGGTTTGGTAAAGTAGAGGGGCACTGAAAAAGAGGAAGACCTTCAATGAGATGAAGGATGAAACAGGGCCACGCTGGATCTCATTCTGTCATGCCAAGGGTCACTGCCAGTCAAAACTGACTCGACGGCACCCCACAGACGA